AAAAAAAAAAAAAAAAAAATACACTGAAGTCTCCAACTTACTCTTAAATGGTTCAGAAAATAATATATGTATGTTTGCATTATATATAGCATGATAAAGCCAATAGGGCAAAATGTTAACAACTGTTGAATCTGAGTAAACGGCATGAGAGTTCCTTACACACTTGGACACTTTAAGACTGAAAGACGTTATGACCTTTTAGAAGTAAGTACTGAAATATTTACAGATAAAAAGGTAAGGCTTCTTTGATGTGCTTCAAAATAATGGGCTAGCGAGTAGGGGTCTAGATGAATAAAAATTGATCATGTATGGATCACTGTTAATACAGTGATGGAAACACCAGGCATATTGTATTCTTCTCTGCTTGTACATGATGAAAGTTTTCTGTAATAATAAGTTTGGTTTTTTTTTAGAGTCTGTAAGCCGGGCGCAGTGGCTCACACCTGTAATCCAGCACTTTGGGAGGCAGAGGTGGGCAGATTACCTGAGGTCGGGAGTTCGAGATCAGCCTGACCAATATGGAGAAACCCCGTCTCTACTAAAACTACAAAATTAGTCAGGCGTGGTGGCGCATGCCTGTACTTCCAGCTACTCAGGAGGCTCAGGCAGGAGAATCGCTTGAACCTGGGAGGTAGAGGTTACGGTAAGCCGAGATCACGTGCCACTGCACTCCAGCCTGGGCAACAAGAGAGAAACTCCATCTCAAAAAATAAAAAAAAAAAAGAAAAAGAGTCCATAATGGCCAGGCACAGTGGCTCTCACAGCACTTTGGGAGTACAAGGCAGGATGATCACTTGAGAGCCCAGGAGTTGGAGACCAGCCTGGCCAACATGGTAAAACCCCATCTCTACTAAAAATACAAAAATTAGCCAGGCGTGGTGGCATGCGCCTGTACTCTCAGCTACCTGGGAGGCTGAGGTATCAGAATTGCTTGAACCAGGGAGGCTGCAGTGAGACAAGATTGTGCCACTGCACTCCAGTCTGGGCAACAGAGCGAGACTCTCTATCTCAAAAAATAAAAAAAGAGTCCATAATCAGAAGTTTTTTAAATGGAAAAACTAAAGTTCAGGAAAATTAAGTGGCATCCACACTCAGGACTCCAGTTTTGAACTCATTCTAATAACACTTTCTCCATTAACCCTCCCTAAAAAACTCCTCATAAAACATGAACTCTTCAGACAACTTTATGTGCTTTCTGCACCTGATGTTTTAGTCAATACGACAGAAATACAGTAAGATACATCTAACTCCACCATTCCTAGATATATAGTTGCCTTTGAAAGTAAATCCCAGCTACTTGGGAGGCTGAGGCAGGAGAACTGCTTGAACATGGGAGGTGGAAGTTGCAGTGAGCCGAGATCATGCCATTCCATTCCAGCCTGGGCAACAAGAGTGAAACTCTGTCTCTAAATAAATAAATAAATAGATAATAAAATAAAATATTTTTTTAAATCTCATTTATATTCATATACTTTGGATTTAATCATGCTCATAATCTAGGTTCTAAGGTTGTTGCTGGTTGGATGTGGTGCCTCACACCTGTAATCTCAACATTTTGGGAGGCCGAGATGGGAGGATTGCTTGAGGCCAAGAGTTTGAGACCTACCCTGGCAACATAACAAGACCCCATTTCTACCAAAAAAATGTTTTTTAATTAGCTAGGCATGGTGGGATGCACCTGTACTCCCAGCTACTCTAAAGGCTGAGGCAGGAAGATCCTTTGTGCCAAGGCTTGATTCAAGGCTGCTGTGAGCTATGATCCTGCCACTGCACTCCAGCCTGGGCAACAGAGCCAGACCCTGTCTCCAAAAAAAAAAAAAAAAAAAAGCATAAAGGGGGACCAAAAAAAGCAATTTGGGACCAGCCATGGTGACTCACA